CCCCAAAACCCCAAAACCCCAAAACCCCACATGAGAATTTAACAGAAATTGCAAGGATATGAAATTAATTTTGATTAATTAAAAATGATGATAAATCATTAGTAACTTCAAAATCATTGCAAATCCAAAAACTTAGTGTTGATAGATTTACTTTATTCATGCTTCATTCTACTTTTATTGGTTCTATTGTAGTAATTTTCCAGCATATTCATCCATTATTGACATCAAAGTATCTATGACTTGGTCTGATGGAATTTTACTTGATTTCTATAAATAGTTAAAGTAGAGCTGAAAATACATCTTGTAAGTTATTATTGCCACAATTAGGGTTACTACTAAAATGCATGCTCTCAAGAAGATTCTGTATCCTTCTTCTAAAGCTTAACTTTAATCTGTTATTACTCCTAGGCTATTTAAAATGTCAAAATTCTAAATCAATTTTTACGTCAAATTTAATTGTCATCTTTTATTCATTTGTTTATTGTTGCAAATTAGAATTAGATGAAGAATTCTGTAGCTAATCTTTGAAATCTATAAAATTAATCATAGTTTAAAAATAAAGAATTACCTAAATCTTGATTTCCGTTAAAATCTACTTCCATCGTCTCTGGATACGGACATTCCTCCTCTGACTTGGCACTCTACCTTTAAGGTAGATGATCTTTGTTTCTAAAATCATTTTAGACGCTGAATATAGCTTTTTAAGTCTATTTAAATTGTTGAATTTTTGATTAAAGTTTTATCATATCTTCGCCCATGGTTTTAGAGGCTATATAATTTAACAACTCATCTGTGTTTTTGTTAGAATCTATATTTCTATAAGTTCGAGTATAACTTCCATTAGATTCTTTGCTCTCTTCCAGATTTTTGAAAGATGCAATCTTGCAATTCGGTTATTTATTTTGTAATTCATTTTAAACGGTGCTACTTTTGCTCAATTTTTCCTTCTATTACTTCACGAATTCTGACAACTAGCTGTACTTTTCATAGAATCCTTTTGTTATTGGGTGAATTTTTTGTTTATCTGGCTTATTTATGGGAATATCATCTTCTCTAAACTCAGTTTCAACAGCAGATTCAAAGAGTCTTGCTAGATTTTCGTGCATGTAGATCCAATTTTGTATATATTTTAAATCGATCAAATTATTCAAAGAATTTTCTCTTATTTCTTTGTAGCCCTTCTAGCAAACCTAAATAATCATGTTTACGAATGAGAAATTTGATATATTTTTAATTACCCTGTGCGAAAATGAATGAGGTTTTTGCTAGTAGCCTTAGCATTCATGATCACTTATCTATTGTGAGAATGATTTTATATCAACTGACTCGTTCATCGGCTAATCTCCTTATTTTTTCATATGCTCTCTCAATTGCTATTATAGTGTTTCAAAACTTTTGCATGATTAAGTTAGCCTCTAATAAAATATTAAAAATTAAAATTTACTATATTAAGACAAAACCCTAATTATGAATCCACAAAATCAAAATAATGATTAAGTTTAGTTTTATAATGAGAACTCGTAGTATTATCTAGAATTTTTTGCTTGTTAAAAAAGTACCATGGTAAAAATCTTCTAATAAATATTTTAGACTATGTCAAGCACAAAATGAGAGATACAGGATACTCTTTTAACTTTATTTAGGATTTGTTGTGACATGGGTAAATTTTCATAAACTGATCGTAGAAAATTTTTTCAAGCAAGCACATCTTGTCAGAGTTTTTGAGAATGCAAGCGAAATAATTATGAATAATCTCTCTAGTACATTTGCTAAGATCTTTTAATGCCAGATGAGAATATTTCTCTAGGATTCTATAAAACCCGATTAAAGATAATAATAATTTTACTTTGTACTCATTATTTGAAAATCTTGTTGATCGAGTTACTTGATTTTTTGATTTTCCTCCAATACCTCAACTTAGTTCTTTGCTTAAGTTGTCTCATTTGTTGATCCTTACTATTCTTTGAAAGATTGTAGTCTTTGAAACCAAGATAACTTAGCTTGAATAATAAATACGGGTGGTAATATCTAATGATCCATCAATTCTTTTGCCATTTTGATGTCTATCTATTCATTGGAATTGTCAAGCTAGCTTTGATTTTGCTACTCGGATTCAGAATCTTTTTGAGATTACATCTAAGAATCTGTAATGTTCTCTGGTTCTTATTCTTCTTGGTTAATAGCTTCCTTAACTTCTTCAAGACTCTATTCCTAGTTTTCCATTCTTCAAATAATATTTATTAATATTAGATAAGTTTAATTAAGATTTTAATTAAAATAGATACCCTCAAATTTTATTAAATTTACTCTTCTGGGGTTTTGGGGTTTTGGGGTTTTGGGG